ATCATCACTAGAAACGTCTCCTGCAATGCTAGGAACATCATCAGGTTCTTTATCGGCGGGTGAAACAAATGAGCCAATCAGCCTGAAAATACAACCAACAATGACAGAATCGAATGCTGGGAATAATTTGGGGCAGCAAATTCCTCCAGCAGAGAAAATCTCACAGCGAGTCTCTCAAATTTCTCACGGAGATAACCAAAATTTGAATCACGAGAAAGCGCGAGAAAACTCAGGGAAACAGGACTTTCAACCCGCTCATGCAGGAGGTCCCCATGAAACCTCACAAAAACCAGCGAAAGAACCCAGTTTTCAAAACCCTTCTAATGCACCGAATAACAGAGAAAACCAAGATTCGAGTCATCATGAGAAGGCACAAGGAAAATCAGGGAGGCAAGACTTAGAATCTGCTGGAGGTCCCCGTGAATTTTCACAACTGGGACCTAGTTTTCAACTTGGCTCTAATACGCACAACCATCAGGAAAACCAAAATTTAAATCCTGAGAATAAGGCACAAGTAAACTCGGGGGCGAGGCAAGAGCTTCAATCCAACACTGGCGGTCCCCAGGAACTTCCACAACAACTGGGACCCAGTTTTCAACAAGGTTCTAATGCGCCCAACAGGGAAAACCAGAATTTAAATCCCAATCAGAAGCAAGACAACCCGGGAACGGTTTCTGAAAGATTTGACAAATCGAATTCCCACCAATCCGGAAACCCGCATCAGGGCTTCAAACCAAATTTTGACGTACAGGTGGAAAATACTGATTTTAAATCTGGAAGAGAACAGGAAACGCCATCACGAATTCATGACTCTCAACGCACAGCTGTGAACCCTGAAACCCAGGTATCCTCAAATCAACCAGGGAGTGCTGGTTTTCAGCAACCTCCAAGTACTTTGTCTGAAAGGAAAAATAACATTGGCTTGAATACGCAAAGGGAGAACGAAAAACTTCCGAATTCATTGCCAAATTCTCAAACACCGAGAAATCAACCAGGACGTCAAGACCATCAAGCACCCAAAAACCAGGAAACGTTTCAAACCCCAGCAGGAGCTGAAAACCCTTCATTAGTTAATCCAAAAAATGATCCACTTTTGTTAAATCCTCCAGTCGTTTGCAGTCATCTAGTTTTACCAGTTCGGGTCCGTAGACGCTTTTAACTAATGGATCTTAGTTCGTCTTTCAAAAAGGTTTTTAATTGTTCATTATTACTCTCTTTTGGGGAAGTCTTGGTCCAGGGACGAGGAAAAAATGAGCAATCAGCGCAAACTATTGCCCAGGGTTCAGAAAATGGCATGAATTCGGAATCATCGCCTACCGCAGTGAATGTGGCAGGGATTGAAAATCGAATTCAATCAACTTCTGAAGGAAAAAATGCACTTGACATCGCCGAACTTCCTAGAAATTCCAACAATAGGCTGAACCCATCTTCTACTTCGGCTGATTCCGGAACTGTTAAGAATCCTCCGTCACCGAGTGGGTTTCGTAGCATTTCCTGGAGAGGTGAGAAAATTTAGTCAGTATAGGGGCTCCAATAATGAGGCAATTATATAATTACTGTACAGTAATTATCCGTCTGTATATTCATATGCTAAAAGGATATGATATGTCCGCGGCAAATTTTCAGCATAATACATATAATACATATATATACATATACATATAATACATAATACATATTAACATGGCAGATCTCATTTTTGGATTATGATGTGTGTGATTGGTTCTTTTCATACCTGTGATGAGAAAATATTGTACTCTTGGCACATCCAAGGTCATGCTCTCTTCATTCTTAAGCCATAAATGTAGAATCTGTGCTTTAAATTTACCCTTGGATGGTGATGGGTTTTAAAAATTATAAAATATTTAATAATTAATTAAGTAGCGATGAACTCTGTTATTATTATCGAAAACTGCGGAAAGGCAAGCAGTTGAAAGTATTTGATGAACATGAAAGTTGGCTTTTATCCTAATACTAACAAAACTTCAGACACATTTTTACCCCCAGAAATAAATCATTTTAATTTTTCCCGTTCTAAGTTTTTGATAACATTCAGCTATAGCAGCTTCACAGGTGCTTAACTTAATTTTTGCAAGTACTGTAGCAGAAACTTTTATATACCTGCCAAAGTCTATCAAGCAAAATTGTTTCCAGTCTGTACAAATTTTATGAAACTTTGCCAGTCTGCAGACAATTCTTTTTGGGGATTTGCCAGTTTGCCAAAAATTTTATGGAAATTTGCTGGTCTGCGGGTACAAAAAGGTTTAGGAACACTGGTTCAGATCACTTCAAAAATGTTCCCAGGTTTCTCATATAATTTCATTAGCCAAGAAATTGGACGATGTCCTCCAAAAATTATAAAAATGAATATTTTTATCAACTTTAAGATGCAGAAAGTAACACCGTAAAACTTTGCAGAAGAAAACCCAACAGATGGACTTTTGGTGCGAAAAAGAGTCAAACCGATAAAACAAAACAAGCATATACTCGTTTTGCTTTACTGTAGACTGGTGATCGAAGTTTATTTTCAAATACGATGAGTATAGAAGGATAAAAGTAGCCTATAATAAAATTAAGTTAAATTTCGCCTGAACCGGGATTTAATTTTTTTTCCTTTTCCGTCCATATTTGTTCCAAAATTTATCGAAATTATCAAGATAAATGACATGCAGCGCAAAAAGATGTTTAAAACCGTTTTCCAGGTTTAGAACCCTGCGAAAGGTCTACAACCTCGTTTAAAAGTTCAACATTCCCAAATGATATCAGCTTAAGAGTTGCACAGACATATCATGAATCACGGCCCCACCCGATTTACGACAGAGAATTTATTGAAAACGTGACCATGGTCTCAACAGGGTCGCCCAGAAACCGATATAAACCCGACAGAAGACCCTCTTTTCTAAATAACAACGGAGAACAGGTGATGTGATGCCAGCAAAACTGCTCATCTTGAACACCTCATTAGTTAGTTGGCTCATTCTTGTATGGCAGGTTTCAAGGTATTTTCAGCAACTAATGGAAGCACATAACCTGAAGACCAAAAATCCTCTGCCAGAAAATGGCAATGTGCAAGCATCATCCCAGGACATCGGATATTTGAACACAGGGAAAGTGAGTTATTTTTGTATATCATGTCAAGCTGCAACCCTGAATTATTCTGAAATAATTTCCATTCACTGCCGAGTTTCATAAATTTTACTCATGAAGCAGTGACCGATTATTTTTTTAGGGATTTAAAACAAAAATTTTAAGTTATTTTAAATTTGATCAACTTTGGGCAGAAATTGAAAATTGTTCAGATGCCAATGGGAAAACGTTTTAATGCAAAAAATCTGAAAACTCTTGGCTGATTGGACAGTGTTGTCAGCAACTCTAGAGCTTGCACATATTTTAGAAGTTTGAAATTCAAACAAAGGCAAAAACATAGAATAATTTAGTTGTTTTTGTGCAGAGCAGCACCTGCATGGCGCCATCTTGGGACTGTGACAAACTTCTCAAAAGTTTGCATAAACATTGTCCAATTTGTGTTCAAAGCTTGTCCGATCTATGTCCAAAACGCCCAATTCCTCGCAAATTGTATGTTACGGACAGGTTTTTTAAGTTAAGGACAGGTTTTTTAAGTTAAGTACAGGTTTTTTAAGTTAAGGACAGGTCTTGTACAGTAAGGATAAGTTTTGTAAGTTAATGTCATGACAGGTTTTCAAGCAATTCCTGTCCAAAACAAGCAATTCCTGTCCATAACAAGCAATTCCCGTCCAAACATAGTCCAATTTGTGTCCAAAACATCCAAATCTTGCCCAAAACTGCTTGAAAAATTGGTCTGACAAACACTGTTGGATAACTAAATGAGAAAGTTTTGGACAAAATTTGGACAACTTTTTCCCCCTGGAGGCAAAGCAACCAAAACTGTGTAATGGAACTACAGTTTCCCAATGTACCCATACTCCCAAATACATTTCATTTCAAATGTTTCTTCAAGTGGATTTTTTTTTCAAAAACCTACCTTTTTATAAACCACAAACAAGGAACATCTTAATTGGAGTGCAGTACAGTACCAATTCAATCCTAAAACATTCAAGTATACCAATTTCACAGTGAAGAAAACCTTATTGTCAATTCCAGGGATCCGTTGAAACCGGCCATCAGGGATCTGCAAGTTTCAGAGAAGAATCTCAGCTTGACAACACAGGCGCAGTGAGTGATCAAAAAAATTATTCATGTAGTGCTATGTTTCCTTAAATGAAGTGTCACCAGAGTCATCAAATTACCAGCCCAAAACCTCTGAATTCAGAGAAAATACCAGAAAATATTAATGCACTCAGTGGAATGAATGAAAGACCTGTGAATGGAGAAAGTTTACAGAGGAATGACAAGGACTCTCTCAACCTCATTCCCGGCACCAATGTGAGTGAAACATGTCGTGACCTGATTTCCAAAATTTTATGTACATGATTCAAGCTTGCCTTGATTTTGGGAATGCGAAAAGGAAAGGACACATTTGGATGACATCCCACAAACTGATGGAATCCAGAACGAAAAACCTGAGAAGCCACGCCCTGCATTAAATGAGATGGAATTAACGCTTGAAAGTAACCCAGATTTCAGCAGTGGAATAGAGGTTAGTGAATCGAATCGTCATTTTTTTTTTTTACGAAAAAAACTATTGTGGTGTCTCGCATAACGAACATGCCGCCGATTTAACTCTAGTCTAGACAGAATTCCCAACCTTTTTGGTCCCTCGGACCGGCAAATTTCCAAACAATATTCTGCAGACCAGCAAAGTTTCATGAAATTTTCTGAGGACCAGCAAATTTACATAAAATTTGTGCATGCTTGAAAAAGTTTTGCTTTAATGGCAGCTGGTATTTGAAAAGCTTTTGTTTCTTTTGCAAAAATTAAGTCAAGAACCATTGACGCAGCTATAGTAGAATGTCTTCAAAAAATATAAAGGTGAGCTTGAAGAAAGGTTTTTCAGACTCAAAAATTAAAATAATTCTCTAAATCAGGTAAAAATATTTCTCAAGTATTATAGGAGAAAAGCCAAGATATATTTTCATGAGAATTTCAACTGCCATTTTCTTGCCAAAATTTGATATAAAGATACTAGCTGTAACATCCTTCGTTGCTAATTTTGAAAAAGTCATCATCCTGGAGAAATTTCCCGCGGACGGGCAAAAAAATTTGGTTCCCCAGTGGGATCTCACCGCAGGAAAAATGTGATATAAAAAAATTCATTCTTTTTTCTTTTTTCAAAGACCAAATGTAAAAAATGCAAATACTTTGTATAAAGACTCTTACGACTCTGGATGATTAACCGTAACGGTGTTTTAAAACTTATGAAAATGTTGAAACTCTGCTTAAAAAATTGTTAGAAAAGCACAGAAACACTGTACTGTACTGCAAAATTATTTGCGAAGGATAACTTCCCCAATTCTTTGAAATTTGGGTGAATGATTTTTTTCCCTCTGGTCTCGATGTTCAGAAACGCATGCATAGGATTCAATTCATTTCTCAGGGTGAGACATTCAATTGTATGACGTAATTTTTGTCAACAAAAAACCTGCTTCAGGTCACCTTCACATGACTGTAATGAGATCTTAAGCAGAAACAGAAGCATAAAATATTTTGAAATTATAATTTACAACAGGGCAACGATGCTCCACACCCTGGACCTATTTCTTCAAAAAGCTTTCCAGATCGTCTGCGACAGAACAGCAGGAAACCCCAGAGGCCTAAAATAGTTGGTACATACAGACCTAACGCTTCTTCGAGGAATGATAAATCTGCCCGACGTGAAGAAGTTGGAAAGGTAAGTTGACCTGAGATAATATGCTGATGAAAAAAAAGGTGAATAGCGTGAACCAGTTAATGCAGTTCAACCTCTCAGCTAAGATATATTTTCATGAGAATTTCAACTGCCATTTTCTTGCCAAAATTTGATATAAAGATACTAGCTGTAACATCCTTCGTTGCTAATTTTGAAAAAGTCATCATCCTGGAGAAATTTCCCGCGGACCGGCAAAAAAATTTGGTTCCCCAGTGGGGTCTCACCGCAGGAAAAATGTGATATAAAAAAATTCATTCTTTTTTATTTTTTCAAAGACCAAATGTAAAAAATGCAAATACTTTGTATAAAGACTCTTACGACTCTGGATGACTAACCGTAACGGTGTTTTAAAACTTATGAAAATGTTGAAACTCTGCTTAAAAAATTGTTAGAAAAGCACAGAAACACTGTACTATTGTACTGCAAAATTATTTGCGAAGGATAACTTCCCCAATTCTTTGAAATTCGGGTGAATGATTTTTTTCCCTCTGCTGGTCTCGATGTTCAGAAACGCATGCATATAGGATTCAATTCATTTCTTAGGGTGAGACATTCAATTGTATGACGTAATTTTTGTCAACAAAAAATCTGCTTCAGGTCACCTTCACATGACTGTAATGAGATCTTAAGCAGAAACAGAAGCATAAAATATTTTGAAATTATAATTTACAACAGGGCAACGATTCTCCACACCCTGGACCTATTTCTTCAAAAAGCTTTCCAGATCGTCTGCGACAGAACAGCAGGAAACCCCAGAGGCCTAAAATAGTTGGTACATACAGACCTAATCGAAGAAGCTCCTTACTATTTAGACGGGCTGCACTTCTTCAACCTTTCCATTCAACTGGACTCTATTATACGACTACTTTTTTTTCCACTTATCGCACTTGGTCAATTACGTCAAGTTGGAGAGTCGAGAGTAAAAAGACCTGCATAACTCACATTTGCAATAAATTCCTCGCCGATCCCGTTAATAAAAACGCATTTTAACCGTCCCTAACTTTAAACGTTTTGGCTCTAACCGCTCCTTGGATGAAATTCCCATTGTCTTTAATTGTGTTATTAAGCTGGAAATACATTTTATAACGCCTAATCAAGATCAAATAAAAATAGTTCAACACTTCCCACAGGAGATTTGGCAACTTCCTGCAGTTGGGACACCTAAAAAATAATTTTTGCAATCATTATACGACAGAAAACCGCTTAAATTTAATGACTTACGGTAAGTTGGTCTGATATGAAATGATGACCAAAAAATCGTGCCTTGCTGAAACATGAATACAGTTCAAGCCCTCAGAGTAAAAAAAAAAATCCCTCCATAATTAAATTTTCAATTAATCCATTGTCGTTCAATCCTTTTATTAACAATGCATTTTAAACGCTCCTTGTCTGAAACTTCTTATAGCTCTAATCGCCCCTTGGTTGAAATTTATATTGCCCTGGAGTTATTTAAACTAGGGATACATTTTAAAATTCAATATCCAGATCATAATCCAGAGGGATTTGTCAACTTCCTGAGGGTGGGACACCTATGAAAAATGGATTCTTCCAATATTGACGCCAGAAAACTGTTTAAATTGAAAACCTACACACATCAGACTGTGTTTCCTAATAAGCTAAAAAATTTCACAATACCGTATTTACTTGAGTACCACGTGCCCTTGAGTAAGGCGTGCACAGGGGTTTTTCAGTTGGAAATTTGGCAAAAATCTTATACTCAAGCAAGATGCGCACAATTTTTAGCGAATCTAAAACCACAAAATTGTGAAAATACAAACAAAAAATCAACTTTAGACATGAATTGAACAAAACTCTGATCAATTTTTAACTTTTTCAGTGCAAAAAAGTTTTCTTGTTACAGTTTTTTCCAAACTTCTCCATTATAGTTAAGTATAATGCACACATAACTTCCTAAAACTTCTTGAAAAATTTGTACCCACTTATGACGCGCACCCCTCTTTTTTTCTTCTGAAAGTTGAGAAAAAAAGGTGCGTGTGGTTCTCAAGTAAATACCGTAATTTGAAAATTCTTCTTAGTCCCTTCAAATTTGACTCAGAGAGCTAGGTTCAACTGTAGTTCTGTTTGTTTGGTTGGGTGAAGTGTAAAAACTGTAATAAACTTGCATCTGATTTTCAATGCCCGAAAAATTTAACCATCAATAAAATAACGGACATGACTTTCATACTGAAATGCGCCACAAATTTGTGAAAGGAACCGGACGTGAGTGTTGATGAACCCCAACTTGGATTTACTCCCGTTGATGAACCAAAAAATACTGAAAATGTCAAAACAATGGATGTTGCCCTTGAATCCGGTCGTCTCGACACCGATCCTCAAGAAGAGAGGAACAATTTTCGGGGAAGCTCAGCAGAAGTGAGTCTTGACTTTCTTTAATGTTCATGGTTCTTTCTACTGTATATATACTGTAATTTGGAATGCAGACATTCAACTTCATGTTTTCCAAAAAGAAGTGAGTCACTAAATTTACCCTTGATTTGAAGTTCAACATCCTTCTGAATTGTTCACTTAGGAATTTGAGGCCCAAAAAATTCCCCTCCTGAATTTTTGTTTATTTTTCCAGTATAAATGCCAATTCCCTTAACCGGAAAACTCCATAAAACCCTTTTGACACTTATAACTTCGGGATGTCCAACTGTAGAATATATTTCGGTAGCATGTATGACACTAATCCTGCTAGAAAATAATTTTTCCGAACACTTGGATCCATGATTTTGACCCTTGACCTTGCTTACAAGGTTTTTTGGGAGAATCCTATCGTAACACATTTTTAGTACAAAAATTCTTCCTTAAGTCTGTTACAGTTGGGCCTCTTTAAGTCAATCTCCCTAGATCAAAAACCTTCCTAACTCAAATCTTTTTTCTTGTCTCAAGTATAATTAACCTTGGTTTCCCTGAACTCACTAATTCAAAATTGTTGCCAACTAACCTTTCTAACTCAATATTTTTGCTGGTCCCTTCAAATTTGATTCGGTAAGGTCCATCTGTATTATATTTAATTATACGCACCTTCACGAGGTATTGTTCACTAATAAAAGATTTTAGCCACTCAGGAAATTCAACAAGCAACTTCAGAGGACAGGAATCTCCGGTGATGGGACTCAGGGCATGTGGAGGTCTAACCCAAGATATTCCCACAGAGGATTCACTACCTCTTCCTACAACACTGGCCAAAGAAATGTAGAGTACTGTAATTAAAATTTTACAACACATGGCTACGGTGCATATTTAAGTTCCATAAAATGGTATATACCTTGGGCTGCTGTAGAAAGAGGTGCATCGCATAAATCAGATCAACTCAGATATTGCCGAATTGGACACACTTCCCGATCCGCCAGAAAACAATGGAGAAATACCTGAAAATCTATATTCCGATACCCGTGGAAGTGAAGCACCGCCGGAAATAGAAGCCTACAGCAGAATCTCAGCGAATGTGAGTTTTGAATAATTTTAAAATATTTATTCGGTGCTTTGATTTGAACATTTATTAATGAAGCAGCAAGAGGCAGGTACTGCGACTCATCAAGGGAAACTTGCCTCGTCAAGACACCAAAATTACCAGGTCCACGGTAAATTTGGGAAAGATCACAAGCTGCACAATGCCGAAAGATTTTCTAAATTTGGAGATGAATCGCGACTCAACATTCCTGGAACGAGGCATGTAAGTACTGTGAAGTAGGATCATGAACTACTTTAAGTAAAATCTTGTTACAAAGAAGGACAACCCTGGTCATTTTATCGAAGTAACACTTCTCTAAACCAAAATTTCGTTGAGTCAATTGCAACACCCGTAACCCTTACTTACTTGTTTACCCTAACTTTGTTTTTAAGCCGTAGAGCATATGAGTACAGTGGGCCCCCATCTTACATCATCAATCCGTTCCAGGATGGACGTCATAACATGGGGCCGTTGTATGTTGAAACCCTATTTCCCTTGAGGTTACATTATAGAAAAATTAATTAGTCCCAGAAAAAAAATATTAAACTAAAATTGCCTTTATATTTCAACTTTTTAATTCCTCCTAAACTTGAATTCCTCCTAAACAAATTTATTCAGCTATAATTAAATGCACAGGGCAGTACAGAACAAACAAAACTCGAAATCCCTCCTAAACACAATAATTCAGCAATAATGAAATGAACTGTACAGCACACACATCTGTTGGGACCAGTAAAATAGCTTCATTGTGAAGAGATTTGGTTTTAAAGCAACTCAGTTAACGTTGTGGGCATTGGGAATGAATGAACAAATGGGATTGAAACAAAAATTCGGCATCTCGTATACTCTGCATCATGTGCTCAATACCGTTTTTTTATTGGTTTATTATCCGTCTGGCAGATATAAATTGATGCCTTCCAGGGGCGAAAAGGCTATTTTCACTGTAAATGAGTCTGAAAATCATGGAATACCCGAAAAAAGAAGCAAAATTTTAACATGCATGAAAAATCGCCATGGATGTTTTTTTCCTCGCATTCAATTTGTGTGTTGCGTTTCATGTATAATTCAATTCGACATTATCTTTATTCACATCACAAGGATTTTAATGTGCGCTAACGTTGTGTCTATTCATCTAAATTCTGAGCACTGAATATTCAGATCAATTAATCTTTCATGTTCCCCTCAGTTGAACAGGAATAAAGGAGAGCAAGAATCAGGCTCTGAAATGGAACAAAAAACCTCAGAATCTTTTCAAGATCTACAGATTGATGAACTCCCAGAAAGAGCACAAATCGAAAATCTGCAGAAATCTCTCGCAGAGAAAATGGATACGGATGAACTTAATATCAATGAAGACCAAACCGAACCTCCAGTAAGTACTACTGTAGTCAAAAAGTCCCTCAACCTCAGTTCCGTGCTTTTAATTGAATGATGAATATTTTTTAAGCAAGCGCCACATGTTCCAATAATGCACATGTCCCGGAAAGAACCAGAAAAACCCATTAATGGTCTCTACAAAGAATACCTTGAGACTTACAGAGAGATGTACAGTCAATTAGGAAGTACGGAAAATTTTGAAGAAGAAGAAGAAACAGAAGACAGGGTGTCGAGAAACCAAAAACTTCAGGTTCGTTCAACGTTTCAAATTCGGAGCAGATTGTCAACCATGATAATGCTTACAAATTCGGAATACGCGAAATGGCTGACTCAAAATGTTTCATATGCAGTACTTTAAAAACCTGTAAAAAAAAACCTTTCACAATCCTAGAACCAACCCAGGGTTCGGTACAGACCTCAATCGCAAATTCGAAGACCCAATCCATTGCGCTACGATCCTGTTACGAAGAGAAGACAGAAAATTGAGCGGCCTTTTGATGCTCATCAAAACAGAAATTTCCCAATCAAAAGCTTGAATAGAGGTATTCAAATTGATTCAGCTGCTGGGGAGGGATACCAAACCAAGGGCCCAGTAAGTACTGTATTTCTCACTTATTCGCCTCAGTGTTATTTCTAGAATTGATGTTTCTTTTTTACGCAGAAATCCCCGCATCGCAACGTGCTCATTTCCACCAAAGGATATGAACCGCAAGAAAGGACCCATGGATACAACGAAGAATTGTTGAATGTTGAAAATAAGATGGATGTCCAATCAGAGGATGATTTTCGAGAAGAAACAAAAGAAAATGGGGCTTCAAACAGCTACAGGCCTGAGGTCAGTCGGAATTGCAGTTTGCCTTATTAATTATGCAACATTATCAAACGAAGATTCACTGACATTAAAAATTCAGACCCAAAGGAGTTTTTCATTTGATTGATGACCCACTTCCACAGAAAATTAGCATTTCTAGATACAGACCCGATGCACAATTTCGGAGACCGAAAAATAACAAAAATTATCGACTGGGACGACCAAGAATTCAGCAGCAGCAGCTCCTTGATCGTCATGCAAACAAAAATCCGCTGGACAAAGATATGAATGAAAGAGTCCAAATAGATAAAGGGGATTTAGATGAAAATCCAGCAAACAATCCAGTAAGTTTTTTTCTCGTGGCATCTCCATTTTTTTCTTCTTGAATTTTCTCCTTTTTTCAGAAAGCACTGCATCAGGATACCACACAAATGTCAAGGATTGAACAAGAAAAAAAGTCCCACGTCCACAATGAAGGATTTCTCAAGAAGCACATGGAGATGTATGATCAATTGGGAACTCTGGATGATTTTAACGAAGAAAGAAAATATGACGAAGACTTGTCAAGCAACTACAGATCTCAGGTTGTTTCAAAAGTTGCGCTTGCATTTTCACTGCTCTCATTTAAAGATTAAAAAAAGTGTGGAATATAGCTTTCACTTGAAAATTTCTAAAAGAAAATTCGACTGTCACACCACCAGCCCAGGCCTCAATACAGACCAAAGTCACAATTCCAAAGACCAAATCCTCATCATGGCCGTGAAATGGGAAGACCCCAGATTGAGCAGGTCCTCAATCGTCATCAAAACACAAATCCACCGAATGAAAAGACAAAGGAAGATTTTTACTTGAATGAATACCAAACTAATGATCCTGTAAGTGTTTATATTTTCAAAAGAAAAAGTTTATTAATTACTCCTTTCCCTCTATATAGGAATCATTGCAAAGAAAGATTGACGGCGACAAACATGAATTCCTTGAAAAACACAGGAAGATGTATCATGAAATTGGAACTCTGGATGATTTTCAAGAAAAAATAATAGAAGACAAAGGCGTGTCAAGCAGCAACTACAGATCTCAGGTTATTTCAGAAGCAGAGTTGATTAATTTGAGATAATCTAATTTCGAAATGAAGAACGCGTGAAGTTTTTCACGTTTTGAAAGTCTGAGAAATGATCCACATTCACAGAACCAACCCAGGCCTCAACACAGACCGAAGCCACAGTTTCAAAAAATAAATCATCAACGTGTCCCTCAAGTGGGAAGACCACCTATTGAGCAGGACGTCAATAAAGAAATAAATGAAGATTTCTATATTGATGAAAATAATTTGGAACAACAGTACAACACCAATGCTCCAGTAAGTGTTTTTCTCTGCACCCCAACATTTTGTCAAATCTGTCAACTTTCCTTTAGGAAACATTGCGAAAAAACATGCGCATGTTTGGGAATGACCAAGGAAAACATCGTGACAAAATAGAATTCCTCGAGAAACACAGGGAGATGTATAATCAAATTGGACCTCTGGATGATATTCAAGGAGAAAGAAACGAAGACGAAGGCGCACCAAACAACTATAAATATGAGGTTATATTTCAAAATCCAGTCCATTCGTAGACTAATGACGAATACGTGAGAGTTAACCCTCCTTTTTAAAGTCTGAAATATCGTCCACTTTTGCAGAACCAACCCAGGCCTCAATATAGACCAAAGCCACAATTGCCAAGACCAAATCATCATCGTGACCCTCAAATGGAAAGACCACAGATGAATCAGGTCATCAATCGTCATCAAAACAAAAACCCATCACATGAGAAAATGAATGAAGATATTTTGGATGAATACCGAACCGATGCTCCAGTAAGTGATTGTGAATGCTCTCTGAAGGAAAAAATGTAAATTACATTTTCCCCCTTTAGAAAGTCCTACATGAAAACATGCATACTTCTATTATCGAAAACGACCAAAAGATTCATGGCGACAGAAGAGAATTCCTCCAGAAGCACAGAGAAATTTATAATCGAATTGGAACTCTGGATGATATTCAGGAAGAGAGAAAAGATGCAATTTCAAACAACTACAGATCTCAGGTTATTTCTAAATCAGAGTGAAGTATCTCATTCAAAAATGAAGAATATTTGGGACTGCCTTCATTTCAAACATCCACAAAATTTGATCTTATATACACAGAAGCAACCCAGTCCTCGATATAGACATAAGTCACAATTTCGAAGACCAAATCATCATCATCGTGGAAATCACATGGGAAGACCACAAATCAACCAACTCGTCAATCATCCAAACAAAAATCCACCATACAAAAACATCCCTGATTTTTACCTTGACAAACCCAATTTGGAACAATACCAAACCAATGCTCCAGTAAGTGTATACTGTATCTCACTGTATATGACTTATTTTCAAAAATCGTGTGCATTCCTGTAGCAAGCACCCACTGGTCACAAGCATATGTCCAGAAAAGAACCAAGAAAAAAGATTCATGGCCACCATGAAGAATTTCTGGAAGCTTACACAGACAGTAGGTTCAACCAGCTAGCAACTGTGGATGATTTCCTCGAAGAAAGAACAGAAGCAGGGATTTCAGGTCCCCAGCACAGCTCTGAGGTTAGTTCTTTCAACAACAAAATTTTATAATTCATGAGGGCTGAAATTAAACTCATTAAATTTTTTAAACAGAACGTGTCTGGAAATGAGTATCTAGAACGAATGGAGAATCCAGGAATCCCACAATCTTCTGTTGGTGGACATGAATATGACTCTTTCATTCCTGGCCATCAAATTTTGGTAAGCATTTGTTGTCAGAGACCAGAGCTAGGGCACCAAACCCCCAAAAAATGAAGATTGTGAGAAATTTAACCAATAGGGTACAAATGGAAATATTTTGGCCCTCAGAGCCATGAGTAATTACTCTGCAAGAAATCCCACCTCCTGGCCTCACTAGGAGAAGTTTCTTCTCTGTGCACATTCAACTCATCACAGAGTTCAATTGACAAAATTATCAATGAGACTGACAGAAAGCCTCTTCTGGTCCAGTAAATTAAACCCATTTTCAGAAGGAAACGAAGTAGATATGGACAAGTTGTATGGTGCAGAGAACCCCTTTACATATTGAGGCATGTAAAGTTTCTTTGGTGTGTTGCTGCTCCTAAGGCCATCTTGAGGGGTACCCAACCAAAAGCCCCCCCTAGGTCAAAAGCCCCCCTGCCAAAAGCCCCCCTAGGTCAGAAGCCCCCCCCCCACTTTTTTAATGCAAGTTTCATAAGTGTTTGGTGGCCTTGAGAAAGGCTGCTTGGTTTCATTAGTCCTCAAGGTGGCTGTTGAATAATCATCTTCAAAATTGCCTTCTGCAGCCTCTTCCTCAAAGTCACTGATGCTCTCAATGTCATTTTCTTCTTAATGTGGCCCTCTTATTGCATCTCCAGCTTCATTAGCACATTTACAGCACCTAGTACTGGCATTTGTGCTCTTGGCCATGAATAAATAGCCATTTTAGTATGCCTTTTCACCACCCCTCTGATTTTTGATGATCTGAAGTGCACCAGCCATTGGATCAACAAGGTGAACCCTAGATTTTGCAGAAGTCAGCAAGTGATGATGCTTTGACATTCAAAGAATCACTGGTGACCACTGAAGGTGAGGAATCCCTTTATATACTCAACTTACAAACATATTGGTACTTGGCCTTGTGCTGGG